GAAGGCATTTTTCAATCTCCACTTCAAACTAGTTCGTTTGTCGCCTCGTACATCAATGAGCTGCAGCAGTTGGAGAAGCCAAAGGAGAGGCAAGTACATGCAGCAGTACCGCAAGGAAGAGCTAACTAGCGTCCATCACCGGTGGGTGTTATGAAGATCAATGTGGACGGGGCTGTTGGGCGCCATAGACGTGGCGGGGCTGTTTCAGCGGTGTGTCGAGACCACACGGGAGCATATTTGGGCTCCTCAGCGGCTGTTTATCATGGCATAACGGATCCGACAACCCTGGAGACACTTGCATGTAGGGAGGCTCTTGCACTAGCAGAGGATCTTCAGGTGACAAACATGATGATTGCCTCGGATTGCAAAGGAGTGGTACAGGATATAAATGAAGGATCCGGTGGGGCGCACTCGGCCATTGTACATGAAATATCACTTCGGAGAAGTTTTTTCAATTCGGTTGTTTATGTTTTCGAGCGTAGAAATCATAATTTCGAGGCTCATAATCTTGCCAAATTCGCTTGTAATTTAGGAGTTGGTAGGCATGTTTGGTTGGGAACTCCCCATGACCAACGCCGTGTACCCATGAACATTGTTATTATATAATAAAGTGATGAGATTTCTCAAAAAAAAACTAGGCAGGGTTTTGCGTTTTTTGTTTGATTTTTTGTATTTTTAAAATAGTTTTCCTTTTTCTCCTTTGTCTGTTTTTTCTTTCTTTTCTTCAAATTTGTGGAACTTTCCTAGTTCATGAACTTTTTGAAAATTTAAAATTTGTAAACTTTTTAGAATTCATGATTTATTTTAAAATTTGTTGAACTTATTTAATTTTTTTAACTTCAAATTTTATAAACTTTTTAATTTTTATAAAAAAATCCAAAAATTCATGAACCTTTTGAAGTCAACCAATTGGGTTGCCACTTGTTTTTAATTTATTTATTTATGGTTTGAGTCCTACTTAGGAACGCAAGACGATGACGGCTCTTTAAAGATGGAATAAAGCTCTCCCCGCCTATCCTCTTTGCGGCGGTGCGGCGGGGAAGACCCGACGCATTGATCGATCCATCAGCGGAGTTCTGCTCCTATTATCTCCTTCACCTATTGCAGAATCGGATATTCAAGATCCATCCATGGTTGGACGCTACTTCGTTGGCTATCACGTATGACATATGGAAAGCCAAAAAGAGAAAAGTTTATGCATGGATCGGGACGCAGAAATGGGGCATTTTTTCTAAAAAGGGGGAGCTTCCCGGTCTTTGCATCAGAATGATGCATACGGCCAACTAGATTAATAATCAAATAGGTTCAACACAAGTCTTGATGTCTGAAACAAAAGAACAAAAAATGCTCACAAAGAGCAGACGAAAAAAGTAAAGCCAGAACCGGCTGGCATAAAAAAGATAGGAAAACTAATTGTCTATCCTATTACATGACCGCCATCCAAACCGGTTGAAAATAGCCCGTGCTACCATCTCCCATCAGATAGATCCAGTAACCAAATGCTTCCTGACCTCCGTCGGAGTGAATAGCGACCATATACGGATCAACGCGGTGTCTCGGAAGATAACCTGCAAAAAATGAATATTTACTGTTCTGTTAAAGGCCAAATCATTTCTGCAGTTCCAGACTGCCAAAATAAAGCACATACTCCTATGCGAATGTGTCTCGCTGTTTCCAAATCTATCCCGTCAAGCCACATCCCAAATAACGTGCTGACAGTATTCGGAGGAGTAATGTTAAAGGCTATGTGATCCGTCCGCTATAATTTTTTTGCCAACGGGCAGTCAAGAAAGAGGTGTTTGATGAATTCAACCCGATCACAAAAACTACATCTTGTAGGTCCCGTCCAATTGCGTTTTACCAGGTTGTTCTTAGTTAAAAATGACTTATTTATGTACAAATCACATAAACACTTTAACTTTCAAAGATACTTTGACTTGCCAAACATGTTTCGAACTAGGAATGGAGTTAGAATTGATAACATCCAGATACATGGATTTAACCATCCTCCCCGGTCGTAGTAAGCTTCTAGCACAACTGATCGGGCCGTTGAGAAAGTTGAACATCCATCAGACTACCCACAAGATGGAGCCAAGCTTCCCAATGGTTTTCGGCTAGCGTCCTCCCGAAGTGAATATTGAGAGGGATGAAATGAAGTACTGTCGCAATGTAAGCGTCTCTTCATTGAACAATGCTATAAAGGGAAGGATATTGAAGCGCGAGTGGTGCTTCTCCTAGCCATGTATCCTCCCAGAACCTCGTAGTGGTACCATTTCCGACTATAAACTTTGTCCTATTGAAAAAACTGATTTAATTCTCATCAGTCCTTTCCAGAAAGACGAGTCTGTCGGCCTCACTGTCACCTGGGACAAAGTTTTGAAATGAAGGCAGTGGCAGAGCCAGGATTGGAGCAAGCCCCGGGCCCAAAAAAAATCGCCGCAAGGAAAAACTAAACGCCCATAAGTCACTTAGCTACCACAAAAGATACCCCATACAAAATATGGCTCAATTGCACGATAAATTTAGAATTGAAACCCAATGCCCAACAATACAATGAAAAAATTAAAAACATGTCAAAAACTACAAAAAACCGGTATGTGATAAAAAAAGAGTACCAAATCAAAAGAAGAGCCAACGCCTCCGGTTTGCTTCACCAGTACCTCACATAATCTCATCATCGGAGGAAGAAGAGCCAACACCTTCAAGACATCAAAAGAAAATTTTCATAAAAGAAGGCATAAACGACGTCAAGTGAAACAATTATCATTGATACAAGTATAAAAACTTACCACTTCGACGAGGTAAAAGCCCTTTGCGAGACCTAGATGATACAAATTGATATACAATATCATCATCATCAATACTTGCAAATACATCTCACTCAATATGAAATCTCTTCATCTTGTTTTTCTACAATATATGAAATGAAATTGACAATTACATCAAATTGAGTTCAACAATACCCTTGGTATATGACTGGATACACGCATATACACACATTATTACAAAGTTGGGACTAGTTTATACGCTGACATTGTGGAACACGATAGAAGTGGAAGCATCAGGGGAAATTGGGAAAGCATCAAAAACAATACCAAGGTGCGACAACAAGCAGCCAGGCGCGCCATGCGGAAGATTGGACAAACGACGCACAGGAGGGCGGTCCGGCAGTGGCCGGGACGGCGACGGACGGCGGCGCCGGTGGCCTGCGCTGGTGCTGGAGTCTGGACTCTGGAGATTGATCTTGAGTGCGTCGGTAGGAGTTAGGTCCGCGGCGGCCGCGCGAGCGCTGGCTTCTCCTGACAGAATCGTGTCGTGCGTGCGTCCGTCAGTTTCAGGTGAGACGGCCCATCAGGCTGGCGTCTCCTGTCGTGTGCGAGTTAGACTTTTTTCTTTAGGTTAGTTATTATATTAGATCGTGGCTCGTGGGGGCGAGGTCTCCTACTCTCCTGTTGTGTGCGTGCCCGAGTTGGAGGTTTCCTCATACGTGAGGCAGCCCATGACGCTCTGGGCCTCCTTCAATTTACTGGGCTGCACCCCGGGCCTATAGAAAAACATACATATATAATAGGCTAGTAAGAATTCCACGCCCCGGGCCTGGGCCTTGGGTCCAGCTCCGCCCCTGAATGAAGGTATTTACTATGCAGAATCTGTGCCCATGTGGCCTCCTTCTCAACAGATAATTTATACAATCACTTACTGAGAAGACATCTGTTCTTTACCTCAAGATTTTCAATACCCAAACCCCCTTGGTATTTCGATCTACAAACAATATCCCATTTGGCGAGTCTGTATTTTCGCTTCAGTTCACCACTCTGCCAGAAGAAGCGGGATCGATAGAAGTCCAGCCTTTTCTGAACTCCAACTGGTATCTCGAAAAAGGACAAGAGAAACATGGACATACTCGTGAGAACTGAATTAATAAGAATTAATCGGCCTCCGTATGACATCAGCTTGCCCTTCCAGCATCTCAGTTTCTTCTCAAATCGATCCTCAATGCACTTCCATTCTATATTTGTCAGCTTACGATGGTGAATTGGTATACCCAAATACGTAAAAGGTAAAGCCCCCAATTCGCACCCGAACAATTGCTTGTAAGCGTCTTGTTCCTCATTGGCTCTTCCAAAACAGAACAATTCGCTTTTATGAAAGTTAATCTTTAACCCGGTCAATTGTTCGAATAAGCATAACACCTGCTTCATGTTTCTCGTTTTTGCCAAGTCATGCTCTATAAAGATGATAGTATCATTGGCGTACTGTAGGATAGACACACCTCCATCAACTAGATGAGGAACCAGGCTACCTACCTGATCAACATCCTTAGCCCTTTTTATTAGAATCGCCAATATGTCAACTACTATGTTGAACAGAATAGATGATATCAGATCTCCTTGTCTCAGGCCCTTATGTGTCTGGAAATAGTGACCTATGTCATCATTCACTTTATTCCAACACTCTCTTTTTGCGTGAAAAATTCTACCTGATGTCGCCAGTTCTGATCAAAACTTTTCATACGCAAGGCCTGTTGAAGAAATGGTTATTTGACTTTATCGTACGCTCTCTCGAAATCCACTTTGAAAACAACTTCGTCTAGTTTTTTCGCGTGAATCTCATGGAGCATTTCATGAAGGACCACAATCTCTTTTAGAATGTTTCTGTCCGGTATTTAAGCAGTTTAGGATGGCTGCACCATAGAATGCGCAATCTGCGTGAGTCTATAAAGCCACCTTGTTTACAAACGTCTCCAGCACAGGACAGGATGATTCATATAAAGGACTCACAGGCAACTATAGCAAATGCAAAGCATTGGAGACGCCATAACAGACGAAGATCGCAATGAACTTGGCACTGGTAGGTCGTAATCACGGCAAGAAAAACATTGGTAGTCATGAAAGGTACTCAGCATCGGCACTCATCAGATGGCACGCGCGCAAGCATGGACAAGCGAGTCCTGATCTCCGGCGACTTCAAGAACAAAATCCATCCCCTCGTCGGCCGTTTCACATCTCCCGTTTCATGACGGGACGGAAAATTTCGGAGACCGGGATGGCCTTGGTGAAGATCTCCTTTACCACGATGATATCGCACCTGATAACGAAAGCGTCGTCCTTGAGGTAACCGCATCCTTCAAGCTCGCTCCTCTCGATGAGACCAACCCCCGGCGTCGAAGTGTCTCTGCCCGAAAAGGTATTCTGGCCCGCACGGACGTATTGCGGCCTTGGATTCCCATCATGGTCGAGCAGACTAATCGTGTATTTGGCTTCCACTTTATCGGCATCGACGTCAACAAGCTTCAGAAAGATGCATATCTCACCGGAGTCGTGGCGGTTCACGCTGTCGGGGTAGTAGTGCAAGCACCAGCGGTGCCCTGCGGCGGCGAACGTCTCGGACGCGATGTGTGTGCCGTTGCCGATCCCCTTTGTGCAGGAGTAGCCGTCGATGCGGAGGATGTGCGAGCCGGACCCGACGACCGGGGCAACGATGGCCGACGCGGTCACGCCGCCGCTGGCACCGATGGAGGACGCAAAAGCGTTGGACATGTCGCTAGATCAGTAGATGGTAGCAACTGGGGAGATCGAGAATGAATGGCAGATGAGCGTGAGACGGAGCCCTCGAGGTTGTTGGTAGGTGGCAGGAACTGGAGGTGGAGAATGGCAAACTAGCACGAGACGGAGCCCTCGAGGTACCTATATACGATGATGGTCGTATTTTCAATATAGTCTATCTATACCCATGGGCGTCGGGGGACAAAATTAATATTCTGACCTAAAAGGCTAACAAAATTCCGATTTGACCTTGTTTCAAAAAAATAAATTCAATTTTGACCTCTTTAGGTGACGCCAACATCCATTGCGAACCAGACGCTAGGAACCCTGGCATCTGGCCCCTAGCCCGCACTGCCCGCCTGCCCGTTGACCTGCTGACGTGGCAAAGGGGCCAGACGCCAAGGACCCTGGCGTCTGGCCCTGGTAAGTGGATAACCCCCGCGGGCCGAGCCCACCCACCCATCTCTTTTCCTCCTGGGCGGCGCACGAACAGAGGGCTTCTCTCCTTCGCCCCTCTTCTCCCTCACACCAAATCCTCACCCGATCTACTCCATCCTCCACTCTAGTTCGTGGATCTGGGCCCCCTAAGCATCCTTGAGGTATTCTCCCCCGTCTCCTCCAATTTATTTGGGTTGAGTCCTCTTCTTTTTGATGCATTATTCAACACTAGGTGATGTTAGATGAGTAGACGGTTTCTTTGTTTTAGGAAATTGTTTGTAGTTGATAGATGATTTGGTAGGCAGTAGATGATGTGTAGTTGAACATGTAGGCAAAATCAATTCCGTTTTGTGCATATGTTGTCCATAAGAATTGTTTTTGAACTAAGAGGGGTGATGAATACATGATTTTTGTATGTAAAAGACGTGTTTGATAATTTGGTTTGATAGATGATATGTGTATGTGGTATAACAATACAGTTGAATTTAAATATGATGTCTCTATGTGTAGATAATCCTATTGTTGGCATACTTTATTTGCAAAAGACATGGTAAAATTTGGTACTCTAGATGATATGTATTTGCATATGTGACACCATATTATTTGACAAATTTATTTGATTGAGATGATGTTGGTATGTTTGAGAAGAATTATGTGTGCATATGAAGCAAAAAAAATGATGTGGTTATGTTTGAGAAGAATGGTGTGTTCATATGGCATAACTTGGAGAAGAAAATTGTATTGTTTGATATTGTTCATGTATTCATAGATGTTTGTGATTTGTTTTGTAGGATGGCGGATGGTGATGGAACTTGGTATGACGGATTAATCGATGAGTGGGATAAGGAGCATCGTGCTCGTGCCATTGAGAACGGACATGTAAGAAGCAAGACTTATCAATTTTCGTTGTTTCTCATTTGTGTTCTTGTATTGATTAAAACATCACTTTATTTGCAGCTTGTAGTTGCTATGCGCATTAGGGGTCATTCTACTGATGACTTTACTTACGACCCGCGGTACGAGCCTTACATTCGGAGATTGGGTCTTCTCCCATTCGTGTTGCAGTTTAAGCGACGCGCTCCGCCGGTGAACCACGCGGCGCTGACCGCACTTGTGGATCGTTGGAGGCCGGAGACTCACTCGTTCCACCTTCCATTTGGGGAGATGACGATGACCCTTGAGGACATGGCTATGATAAGCGGCCTTTCTATCAACAGACAAGCTGTTACCGGTCATGTCAGTACCGTTAATTGGCGAGAACGGACTGGCATTTTAATTGGTGTTCAGCCCGACGCCCCTAAGGAAGGCAAGGCCGATACCGCGAGAGTGAGGCATTCTTGGCTAAAAGCGGTTAGAGGAAACACCAATCCGTGTCCTCAGGGTGCTAATGACGTGGTTGTGCAGCAGTACACGCGGGCCTATCTTTGATATGTACTAACCAAGGTAGTCTTCTCAGATGCAACCGGGAACTCGACCCTCTGGATGTTCCTGGAGCTACTCAATAACTGGGATACCTAGTATAGCTGGGGTTCGGCCGCACTAGCATATTTGTATCGTCAGGTAAGAGATATTTGCAAGCATTTAACTCGCATTTGTCATGCGCCTCCATATCTAACATGTTTGTTTGATTGCAGCTTGACTTGGCGTGTCGCAGAAAGGGAGATACATCCTCATTGGCTGGGTTTGTTTGGAGCCTATCCGTGTGGATGTGGGAGCGGATCCCGGTTGGACGGCCCGATATCAAGAACCCCAACATGGCAAACCCACGGGGTAATCCAGACGGGCTGCATGATGATGATCCATATCGGCGCCCTACGCTTGCTTACTATTGGGAACAAGTGACAGTGTACACAGGAAGCTCGCATGTGCGATACAAGTGCTATATGAACGAGCTGGACACCTTGACTGCTGAGCAGGTATAGAGAAGTTCGATGAGACCAAATTTAGTCAAGAATGAAACTTGTATCTAACAATGTATCTCTTTGTTTTGCAGGTACATTGGTTGCCTTATATGGAAAATCGTGACTATGATCTTAATGAGATGTGCACGCGTGATAGCCATCTTTGGCGGGCGAGGTGCCCAATGATATGCTTCTTCGCAGTCGAGTGGCACTTTGTAGACCGTGTGGCAAGACAATTTGGAAGAGGACAAGGTATTCCAATTGAGGAGAGCAACGAGGAAATGCTATCTCTGCATCGGTGAGCAAGCATGCCTTGAGTATGTAGTAGAGCATTGAATAAGTCTATGTTTGCTAATGCTTTGTCCCGTGCATCATTTGTAGGTTCGATCGAAGGAACAATCAGGATATATCGGATTGGGCAAACAAACACCGTGCGTGGATAGAAATTTGGAATCAAAGAGACACGTTAGTGCAATCAGAGAATAGACCTCACAATCAGTCAGCATATCAGAAGTATCAAGAGTGGTATGCGGATCGTTACCGGTTAAAGCTAAAGCCTGGTTGGACTCACGAGGAGTGGTCGGAGTTGGTGTCTGAAGACCTGGAGACTGCAGAAGGTTATCATACCTTCAACACGGCTGTGAGAGACACCAGAGGGGCTCACGTTGACTATGCACCGATGCATGACGAAATGGTAGTCTGTTTGACCTATTCTAACAAACTTGCATCATGTTGTCTTCTTTCAAATACATAAGTTTGGTGTGTTCATGAATTGCAGGGCATAGAGTTGGTTTTGTGCGTCAACGATGTCAATGTTGCATTGAGTCATCCACCTGGTGGTGTATTATCTGAGAGGACTCTTAGTAGCACGATGGAGGTGTGACCAATATATTATAAAAGTTTCTTTTTGCGGATTATTTATTTGCATCTTATATCGTAGCATATTTTGTGTTGTTGCAGAAGTTCAAGAAGCGGTTCCATAAGATGGCAGCAATGCTTTCTTGCCATGGTGCTCAGTCCAGTGACGTGTATGCACCTGGTACCCGCGCCGCCAAAGCTAATAGACGGCGTTATATCTAGAACGATGAGGACATGGAGGAGGAGGTCCATGAAGAGGAGCCAACACATCAAGAGGAGCCAACACATCATGAGGAGCATGAGTATGACGCAACACATCAAGAGGATCATGAGTATGATGTTGATGCTCCACAACCATCACAGGTTACACAACCGACACAAGGCAATGCTCACTCTAGGAAAGGCAAAGCCATAGCTAAGACACCAGGCAAGAAAGGTAGAAAGAAGACATGGAACACACAATTCCATAGTCCGGAGTATCCTCATCAGCTTATCCCAACATGAATGCAAAGATATAAGGCCAACATTGAGGCGGAGGAGGAGGCATACAACGAAGAGGAGGAGGAGGCTAGCGAAGAGGAGGAGCCTACACTTGCAGCACTCGTGAAGAGAGGAAGGAGGAAGTGAGCTTCTTGTTTGGAAGTGTATGAACTAGGTGGCGTTTGTATGCATGAACTTGGTGTTGTGGTAAAAACTTTTAAGGCTGTCTTGAATTTGGTGTCTTATGTATGCACTTGGTGTCTTATGTATGCATGCATTTGTCGTGATGAAAAATCTGTGAACTTGTTGTCGTTTGTATGCAAGAATTTGTCGTGGTGAAAGTTCTGTGAAATGTGCTATCTTCTGTGTTCTATGAACCTGTCATATTATTATATATGTGCTATCTTCTTGTGTGAAATAAGTCCAAAATAATGTACATGTGAAAGGATCGATATGGTTGACTATAGGGGGGGGGGGTGAATTAGGCAACTAACAATTTTTAGCTTTTCTTTAACAATTTAAACTTTGCATCAAAGTAGGTTGTCTAGATATGCAACTAGGTGAGCAACCTATACGATGCAACAAGGATAGGAACACAAGCAAGCAAGTGATATGAAACAAATAAGCTTGCACAAGTAAAGGCACGAGATAACCAAGAGTGGAGACGGTGGAGACGAGGATGTGTTGCCGAAGTTCCTTCCCTTTGAGAGGAAGTACATCTCCGTTGGAGCGGTGTGGAGGCACAATGCTCCCCAAGAAGCCACTAGGGCCACCGTATTCTCCTCACGCCCTCACACAATGCGAGATGCCGTGATTCCACTATTGGTGCCCTTGGAGGCGGTGACCGAACCTTTACAAACAAGGTTGGGGCAATCTCCACAACTCAATTGGAGGCTCCCAACGACACCACGAAGCTTCACAACAATGGACTATGGCTTCGCGGTGACCTCAACCGTCTAGGATGCTCAAACACCCAAGAGTAACAAGATCCGCAAGGGATTAGTGGGGGGAATCAAATTTCTCTTGGTGGAAGTGTGGATCGAGGCCTTCTCAACCATTCCCAAACAAATCAACAAGTTTGATTGGCTAGGGAGTGAGATCGGGGCGAAAATGGAGCTTAGAGCAATAATGAAGCTTAGGGTTCGAAGAGATAGGTCAACGGGGAAGAAGGGGATCCCTTATATAGTGTAGGACAAAGATCCAACCGTTACCCACCAACCAGCCCGCGGCCAACGGTACTACCGTGCCAGGCCAGCGGTACTACCGTAGGGTTGCACGATACTACCGCTTGCTACCAAGCGGTACTACCGCACGACC